CGGTCGCGCAGCTCGGCGGGGCGCGGACCGTTACTTCCCGGCCCCTCGCGGGGGCGCGGGCAGCGATCGGCCGGTGAGGCTGCCGGTGCACGCCCGCTGCCGCCTCCCGTTTCTCCTTCCCTGTGAAACTTGAGCTGTGATCCCGGAAACCCCGAGAGCAGAGCCCGACCGCACGGAGCTCTGGGGCCGGCCCCCGTGGCCGCCCGCCGGCGAGGCACCACCTTCCCGCCCGCCGCGGCATCCCCTGCGGCCGGTGCGCCCCGCCTGCGGCGTTCTGCCCGCGCCTCTCCGCGGTGGGGGCGGCGCCCCGCCCGTCGCTGCCTTCCAGTTGCGGGACGTCGCCCTCGCGGTCCCGGGGTATTTTAGCAAATCGTGTTTGTTCTGGGATCCACACCAGAGTGCATCGATTGTTCCTCGGTTCCCATCGAAGGAACCCCGCCTCCTCTCTGCCCCGCGTCTGTCTGGCTGACCTCTTGTTTGGGTGCAGTTTTCCTGTCACGTTTGGGAGTAACTCCGCACGTTCTGTACACAGATGTCTGAGACTGGAGGCCTACTTTTTAATGATGATGTGAAAAAAGATCTGCTTTCGATGCGAGTAAAATAGCGGTGCGTGGTAAGAAAGAGACGGCAGTGATTTGAGAAAATGAGACCATTCTTTGGAGATTAGCTCTGAATGTCTTTGGGTAGTATCAAAATATCATTACTCGTTGAAGAGGTCTTGGTGGAGAAGGTGGAGGGGTAAAACGTACACCTCCTCAAAGATCTGTTCCCAGTGTATTATGAAGTCTTACGCCGAAGTTTTAGCAGTATTTATTGCAAAGAGCAGCGTAATTTTTGAAGAAAGGTAATGTGGAGGAGTGAAGGGAGTTGGTTCTGAAGCAGGCAAAGATCGAGTACCCTCTGTAGGCTGAGAATTCACTACCGCTTTACCAGCACATGTCCAGGGGTGTGCAAAGCATCTCAGGCGGTGATGTATCAAATGACCGTTTCTGATTTACACAGAGGTAGTATGATAAATGACATGTTATCTAATGTAGAGTGTTTCTGTATAGCCACTCCCCACATGTTTGATTCCAAAACACTTCCTAATGCTCTTACTCCTTTCACTTGAATTTGTGTGCTTTTTTTATGTTGCATTAAGAAGGACTGTAAGTGGTGCTTACAGTTGAGGTTGAAGATAGTTGAAAGGCGGATGAACAGTTTACTGTCCTGACTTAGTTTATGTGAAGGACTGAAAGAATATCGGTGCCTCTGCAGCAGTACATTTGTCCAGTTAGGCAAAGCCCTGTGGAAGACAGAACACGTAATATGGACAGATGAGACGGGAGGTAGACTTTGTATAATAATTTCAATGTAGTTCAAGTGATGATGATTACTTTTTGAAGGAACACATTGGTTTTTTCACATGGAAGACATTTTTTTAAAAAAATATCTTCAATAATGTGCTGTTGTGTTTATTTTAGAGCAGCAGGACTTGAGCAATGTGTGCATAGACTGAGATTTAGAGGAGTGTAAATGGAAGCTTGTAAGAGCCACTCGGCTCGTAGCTGTAGACATGGACACTGGATCGGTGTTACTGTGCGCTGTTCACTTAAAGAGCTTCTTTTTTTGGCTTAGAGCGGTATAACACCCTAATTTGTGCACTCCTACATGACTTTTTTTTTTCATTAACCTCTAATTTAGAATTCAGTCTCTGTTGTTGTGACTTAGGGATATTAGTAAGTCTGGAAAGATTTTCTTCCTAAAACGCTTTTTGTTGATCTAACGACCTGTTGTTCTACTACTGTTAGTACTAACAGTCGTGGTCCTACGTACAAAGTTTGGCACACACTTACATTTCAGTAGACCCAGTTTTAGAGTTAAAAGCTTTTTACATTGGAAGAGATGATTATCTGATGCTTTGTTAATCAGAATACTTTATTTTAATGATTTTTATTTATTTTTTGCTGTCTTTGGTATGTCCTTCATTTACTATTGTCTTTACCATAGGGAACTTCTTCCTACTAATTTGTTAGAGTTATCCCTCACAACTGATAGACTTCATATTCTGAAATCCATAGAAAATTTGCAGATTTGCTGTTTGGGAGGTATCCTATTTAAAAGCTCAGTTCTTAAAATGAGAATTTTACAGGTTGACGCATTGTCACTTTTTTTTTAAGCCTAAAAGATTCCTAGGTACAAAAATGGAGAGGACTAGGTTTATAACAACTTCTGACTTGACAAATCTCATTTATGTAATTCTGAACTTCTCCATTTCTCTGTGAGGGCAGTAGTCAGTTCATTATCAGAACTACTACGTTTTTTTCTTCTTAGATTTTTCTTGAAGTGGAAAATATTTGCAGAGATGTGGTATTGATGAATGAGAAGATGGATTGACCTTTATAAGGTCCAGTTTGACTCTCAGATTTTACAGCTCTTCACATTTGTAGCCAGCTTTTTAAGGTGGTTGTTTAGAAGATGATAGAAAAAAAAATCTAATAGAGGACCTTTAAAAGTAGTTTGAGTATTTTGTATTTACTTGACAGTTACTTGGAAGCAAAACACATGATGAGAGTCCGGACTTAAGGTTCTTAACAACAATGTTTTGGTAGGCATAAAGGAAAGACGTGATTATGGTTCAGTTTGTTATCTATGATAGAGATGTACATGAGGTACTCTGAGTTGTACCTAGCTTGTTAGATATAAAGGCAGATATATACAGGAGGAAATCCCTCTATGTGGAGGGGAGTGCTTGACCTTGTGTGTAGTAGGCAAGCGGTCTACCACAGAGGTGCAACACTAAGCCTTAAAAATCATTTTCAGAACTCATTTGAGTCAGAGTATTGAGATCAGACATGTGCTAATGGTATAATATTGTAATTTCTCTTTCTTTTCTGCTTTATGTATGCTTATAGATGTGAACTTATAGATGTGAACCATTGGCAAGTTATTTATATTATCTCCTAATATGATTGTTTTATGGATTAAGTGAAAGAATTAAGTAAATGGTTAATGTGTAAGCAATGCAGTAACACTCAGATGTTAGTATTTATTATGTTTTACAGCATATATCATTTAACCTGGCATTGATGTTTCTTAAATTCTGTTCTAGTGTCTGGAATAATTGAGTTTTTAAGTTAATTGACCTGCTGTATTTGTACTGAGTATGTGGGCTTTAGACCAGTTTTCAGAACATAAGAGTATAGCCATATCATTTACCCATATATTTGTATGGAAACTAGTTGAATCTTTCCTCAGTGATGTTAAGTGATGTTAAGAATTGGCAGTTCCATAAGGTCACTTTATAGAGTGTTAGTGGTTATCCTGAAAAGGTAGAACTGGAAATAGTAGGCATAATTTAGCTTCTACTTTGGCTCTACCAGTAACGTCAGGTTGGTGCTAAGAGTATATGTTGCCTATGTGATGTGTTTTTCCAAATCCTAAACGTATACGGTTGGAAAGTAAACTCAATTTAGAAGCAAGCAGAAAAGATAAACTCTTTCTTTCAATTCCTGCAGCATCAGAAGTAGGAGTTGGAAAAGCTGGCCAGTTACATATTTGTACATATATTTCCTGATTTACCTTAATTACTCCAAACAAGTTGAGTATCCTTATCTGAAATGCTTGGGACCAGAAAAGTTTTGTGCTCTGCTATATTTGCATGTGCATGATGAGAGATCTTGGATGTGGCCCGTGTCTAACATGAAAGACGTGTGTTTCATATCCTTACACACATAGCCCGAAGG